CTAAAACCCTAGCATTAAGCAGCAGGATACTTTTTGGCATTGCTTGACCACCTCAGTACTCCTCATTTTAGGGGCAGTATATGGTCTAGACAAAGTGTCATTTCTGCCATTATCCGCTAAGAGAGTCTACATTAATCGGACTATGAGGGTGTTTGTGAGCATGTCTATGCTCACTGAAATATTCTCTCTCTGGGGTTAGACCTGTTACAGGAGTTACTCAGAATGATCTTTGAGATAAATCTTCTACCCACAAGGTGTCATTTTAATAAGGAGGAAAAACACTGCTGGACTTTGTTTCTCAGGTGACAAAGAACAAGCAGTTTTGCCATGTTCTCTTTAATGCTGACGCAGCTCACAATCTTTTGACTCTGCTGTTGTTTACTTTCTGTTCATTGCAAATTCTTCTTGAAGGAGTTTTTTCATAGGATTTTCCATGTGACTAGTAACTACTTACTCCAGAACTTCTTTGGAAGCCATATTCAGGTAACGAGTGGATACCCACTGAATTTCAAACCAATCTCTAAAGCCACTGTTTCCACAACATCGGAATCCAATTTGTAACATGTCCACTGTTTTCTTTAAAAAACATCGTCCAGGTATGTCAGTGTCCTTATAGAACTTAATGGCATCCCTCAGTCCCAGATAGAGAGACTCTTCCAGCTCATTCCTCATGGCATAGCACATGAGAGCACCCACCAGAATGCAGAAAGTGAAACAGAAGGTACAGACGATGTATGGGAGCATAACTAGTTTCCAACGAGAGAATTTGTTGGCATCTGAGCAGTCATAGCAGATTTTGCCACCCAGGAAGTTGATGATACATGCTATGACTCCCACAGAGATCAGCATGTTGGGGAGGGAATTAATGTCCCCTTTTGCCATCACTTCATTGCGCTTCTTGATCTCTATTTTCAAAAAGAGGCCAAGACTGAAGAGAATGATCCCGCTCACAACAGAAACCCAGTTGAGGATCCATAGGATCTGAGCCAATTTGTCCCTCTTCGTTTTGGTGAATTTTACTTTGAGGACAGCCATAGTCAGATCAGCATTAAGAAAAGAAGCGTAGGTCAAGGAAAGCTCGTAAGCTGCTTAGGAGCATATATCCAAGGCATGCAGTAGAAATCTGTGAAGAGAGAGGGGGAGATTACTGTCTGTTTGACTGGATATTTATAGAGCCTACAGAGAATTTCTTCACGCACTCTGAGACCTGCTAGGAGAGCGTCCCAGCACCTGTTTAAATTTTGTACAATAGAAATCTCTTAAAATCATAGTTCCAAAGACTGACTAGAGCAATTATAAGCAAGTGACACAATTAACCCTATGGATTTTTCTCCTGAGAACAACTGTCTGTGCAGATTTTCTGATGTCTAGTAGACGTGAGCTGATCTGCTGTCTTTCCCTCTGGGAGACTGATAGAAGTACGCACCTCTACAGGTCGTGTGTGTTTTCTTGATGGTTGTAGGGATCAATCATTCTTAGATTTCTACATCGTGGTCAGATTTGGGTTCAAAAGTTATTAAGCAGGACCAACAGGCAGACACATACAGCATAATCACATAAGCCTTTTTTCCATGTGGAAAAAAATCTAAAAATAGCATCAGAAACACAGTATGCTCTGGGTGGTTTTAGACATTCAACTGATAGTGTGCAGTGAAAACACTATTTCACTAGCAAAAAGCAGACTGCTGCCTACACTTATGATGTACTATTAGGATATGATCACTCTGAAGCGGAAACTGAGTGTGGTTATAGAGATACTATTAATTACTGTGTTGGTTTTGTAGAAAATATTATCAAAATTTTGTTATCCTGTGGAATAGCTAGCACATAGTTTCTTCGTGCTATGATCTGAGTATATCACCGGAACAAATCTCCGTCCTCCACATCCTCCTTTTTTCAGCTTGATCTGGCATAAAGGCACTGCTGTTTTTATGTCAAGTAACACGCCACTCGAGAAAAAAGTAAAACGATCTTCCAAACACAAAAAGAAATCAACAGTTTAAGATGCTCTATTTGTTTTCTCTGACTGCTCTTCCTTCCTTTCTGAAGGTTCTTATTAAAAACTGATGTTTGGAATGACATAAGATATTAAATGAGGTCTATTTAATCCCTCGGACATGGTGACATCACTATCTTAACCTCTGCTTCTGCAGCTAAAGTTGTTTGCTCTTTCTCTGTCTCTTGAGAACCGTGACAATCATGTCTTATTACATCCCTCATACCATCTATAGGCTTCCCCCCACCCCCAAGTCCCCCATATTGCTGTCAAAATCCTAAAAATTGCTCCTGGTTGCATTTTCCCTAATAACCTGGTCTTCTTCACAGTTCATTGAAACTGTTTCCATTCACCTATCTGAGGAAGACTCTACAATCTAAGGGACATCAAAATATTTCTTTAGGGGGGCAACCATTTGAACAATGACAGGGAGCTACTCGTGTGTTTGGGAATTTTTATCCTGTGTATTTTACTATCTTACTTTTGATAAACCTGCTCTTCCCTCATTAACAGTACTCTCCTTTCTACATTGAATTATTTTTGAATGAAATCTAAAATTCAGACCCTAATAACTTGTCATTCAAAGCTCCACAATACTTCCTGCT